ATAGATAGATAGATAGATAGATAGATAGATAGATAGATAGATAGATAGATAGACAGACAGATATCGATATATCTCAGACTGCAGGGTTGTCTACTTATACCTGGGCGGCAGGGGTAGGTGTTATTTGTGACTTCCACCCAGTCTTATTTTAAAGACTAACAACCAGATTACCAGGTAGATTAACTACTATTCCTCCTCTGGCCTCTGGGATGACTAAGGGGTTTCAGAGTTTATCTTCTCATCAGTTCTATCAACTTCAGTGTGGGGTCTGCTGCTCCCCAAATGAAAGCCTCAGATGGGCACTATAGATGGTAAGTCTTTGGCCACATACCTCAATACAAGCAAGTACCCCAAACATCGGTGAAGGGCGTTCTTCACAAGGAAGACATAATTATTTCATTGTCAAGTGCAGACCCTCCAAGCAGGTTTGCAGAGAAGTCTGGGTGAGTATATAGAGGAGAGTTGAAACTTTTCCTCTGAAGGGATGTTGAACAGATGGAAACAGAAATCACGTCTATGTCAAGGAGAGAGCAGTACTGGGTCTTCCCTGCACTCTTTCTCCGAATCTTGTCCTGTGTCCAGAGACCACACCCGCTAGGCTGCCAGAGTCACTGCTTCCTGAGAAAAGACCAAACGAGAAAGAAATAACAAGAAAAGCAAAAGCAAATTTATTCTGTCAACAGAAGCTTTCAGGTCAGCCAGGAACATGTTGCAAAGTACTCTCGCCAACATATTTGTATATGCCTCTGAAGATTTGAAAATGTGATTCTATCAAATTACTTAGCAGATGAGTTGAAAGGTATTCATGCTGGCAAAGTCAATTTTAGAGACCGTATCAGTCAGAACAACAAGAGGGCTGTTTCCCCGGCTCAGCACCGAGTCAAGCATGTATTTCTCACTCACTCTGCTTGTCTAATGGAGGGGCAGGAGGAATGGTATGGAGAGTTGGAGTTTCCCCAGGGTGCAGGCTGAAAAAGAGTTCCTCTCCACACATGCTTTTGACCATGGAAAATCAAACATGGAAGATCATGCACGACCGCTCAAGCTCTTGAAAGCAGTGTGATACATCACCTCCTACCGGCTTCTCATTGGTTCAAGTCAAATGGCCCCATGTGATCTCTGGCAGGAAGGAGGCACCTTCCTCCTACATGCCCAGCGAGAATAGCGCTATTCCCATCACAGTGGAATAGCTGTGAATATGGTCCTTCCATATTTCCACATACTCTGCTGTAAGCTCTCTGTAGCAAAATGGTGACTTGTCTATAACAGAGGAGGGAGATCCAAATGACCATGGTGAAATGGAATTCAAGCATCAGAGTGAATGTTTCTAACACCTTTTTCCCCAATCAGATCCCAGAGTATAACATCATGCTAACTGTCACAACTGGTCAATTTACACTACAAATTTGTCTGTTGAGGCTAAAGGCAAAGCAAGTAAAGCCAAAGTGTAGACTTAGGGGATTTAAATTGTCCAAATAAAATTTTGTGATGTTCGTTAAGTCATTCAATAATATGTGACTCTAGTATACAGCAGTAAGGGATAAAGATGTGGAAGGCATTATTCTGATAAAATGGTTCTTTGGTGGGCATTTGAAAACTCTGAGTTTCAAGAACCATGGGTACTGAGAAGGACCTCTGATTCTACTGAATGAGTTTTCAAAGTGGGGTTGCTAACAATGCAAGAGGAGAGAAGAGATGGAAAGAGGGAAAAGGAGATCTAGAAAGGAGGTCCAAATGTGACAGAGAGACTGTGTGTGGCTAAGAAAGGACTGGAAATGGGAGACAGAAGGGAGAAGTCAGTGATAGAAAAGAGATGGAGTAGAAGGTACCAAAATCAAAGAAGTGTTTAAGGCATAAGACATCTGGACTGGAGCTGAGAAATCCAAAGAGCATAGAGGAATAATTTTTCATATACACAGTGGAATAGACTTCTCTCCTTGCAAGGTACCCATTATAATCTATATGTGTTTGTTAAGAGGTTAAGGCATGAAATTCCTTAATCATCCTTGTGAGTGGCTAAGGAAACCCAGGTCTGTACAGATTTGTCTACAACAGCATCACCCACAGCAGAAAGCATAAAACTAACTCTGTTGAAGCAGAGACATGGGGAGGGGCTTAAAGAGGATATATAATGGGACTTTAAGGATCATAAAATGGAATCAACTTGCACCAGTCCCCCTTAATTCATATGGAATACACTGAAGGTTTCCAGTGGTCATCTGAAACCATAGATAAAACTGACCCATATATATATATATTATGTTTTCTATGTATACAGACCCATCGTAAAGTTTAACTTATGAATCAAGCACAAAAGAAAATTAACAAATCAATAATAAAACACAGTAATTATAATAATAACCCGCAATGAAATTGCTGCCTCTTTACTGTTGGGGTTGGGGCCGTTATTAAGTAAAAGAAGGGTCACGTGACTATAAGCCCTTAGTATCACCACAGCCAATGTGACAACAGACTTGAGCACTGAGTGACTAGCAGGCACGGATCTAATGCAGCATGAAACACTTGGAATCCGTGGTAACTCAGATCCCAGCTGGCCTAGGATGTCCATCACGCTTCTCAACACATCATGCAATCTGGAGAGTGGGATTTATTCATCTCTAGAATTTTCTATTTAATATCAGTGGTTGCTTGGAGGTAACTGAAACCCTAGAAAGTAAAACAACAGAAAGGGAAAACTTGGGCATCTACATTTGGGAGAGAAGCTCATCCCTGAAGGCCAAAGAGCAAACTGTGGCTGATATAACCTTTGCATAAACCCTGCACCATAGCAAATGCCGAATCTATGACTTCCTGCTGGTCCATGGGCTCTAACAAAAGCAATGGGTTAGCCAGTTTCTTGATTGCACTGCTCAGAAATTCATAGCTGAGTTGGCTATTTTGAGATGGGGCCTAGATACAGGAAGTAGATCAGTGGGGTGTGCCTTGTTACCCAGTCCCTACCACTCTCTCTGCTTTCTGGCCTTCATGAAATGAGCAGTTTTGCCCTGCCAGGTCCAGCCTACCATGATGATTCTGTCTTTCCATAAGACTAACAGCCACTGGCTGAAGTTTCTGAGTACATGAACCAAAGTAAACTTGACCTACTTTGGGCTGGAGAGATGGCTCAGTGGTTAAGAGCATTCTCTGCTCTTTCAAAGTTCCTGAGTTCAATTCCCGGCAACCACATGGTGGCTCGCAACCATCTGTAATGAGGTCTGGTGCCCTCTTCTGGCCTGTAGACATATACACAGACAGAATATTGTATACATAATAAATAAACAAATAAATAAATATTTTTAAAGAAACTTGACCTACTTTAAATTTGTATTAAGTCACTTTCTCACGGCTAGGCAAAAGACCTGATAAGAGCAATTTAAGAAAGAAGGGTTTACATTGAGTCACAATTCACAAGTGTAGTCCATCATGGAGAAGTCATGGCAGCAGGAGCTGGAGGCAGCTGGTCACATGACATTTGCAGTCCGAAACCTGAGAGAGGTGCATGCTGCTATTCAGCTAGCTTTCTCCTTTTTCTAGTCAGTCCATGAAATGCTGCTGTCCACAATTTGGGTGGGTCTTTCCACCTCAATTAGCTCAGTCTGGAAATCCCTCCCAGACATGCCCAGAGATTTCAGCATGATCCTAGAGTCTATTAAGTTGACAATCAATATTAATGGTGATAAAGATGGTTTCTTTCATATATCTGGCCAAAGCAATGAAAAGCTAATTGACACATTGGATTAAAACATCACAATGCTTTCAGTAAGAAAAAGAGCTTGGTGCAGAAGTATACTGTTGCATGGCAGGATCACAACCCCTGCTTCTTTGTTCACAAGTAATGGAAGCAACAGCGAAAGGATCTCTGTTACCGTGGTAAGAGGGAGAGAGAATAACTCAAACCAGAAAACAGGATGCAATCTATACATGGTGGTACATGCTTACCAGGAAGGGGCCTGAGAAAGGAGGATTATGAGTTGGATAGAACTACACAGTCACAGTCTATCTCAAAGAAATTAAAGAAGGCAACTGGATAGCAGGAAAAAATCCAAATTGATTATAAATAATAAAAATTAAAGTGAGATTATAAAAAGAGCAATATTCTATTAAATGTATCTTTATCTTTTGCATTTTTCTCATTTTATTCACTAAGTTTCATGACTCCAACAACTATGGTAATAGACACTTAAGATGCTTTAAAAGTTTCCTCTGCTCTGTACCCTCTTATGTTTGCGGATAGAGCCTCGCAAATGAAAATGACAGTAGACAGATTCATGTAGAAGAAAAGGACACATGGGGGAACCTCACGGAAGTGAAGTGAAAGCCCCAAGCAAACAAGCGGAACTGGAGTTTATATTCCAACTCCACAAAAAGCAAGCATTTTGTGGGGAATGGTGAAGCAAAGGAAGCATGTCTGGGGGTTACCCGTATACTGGGGAAGGCAGGGAAAATGGGAGAGCTGTTGAAGAGAAGGGTCATTAAGTAAGCTCACTTATGCAAGCCTGTTTGAGTGCTGAATTTCATGTTATGCAAGGCCATTGTATCAGTCAGGGTTCTCTAAAGAACAGAACTTACAGAATGAATGTGTGTGTGTGTGTGTGTGTGTGTTCATAATATATAATATATTATATAACATATGGTATATATATTCTCTACATTGTACATTTTAATAAATCTCATATAACATATAATATATATTACGCATTATATTATAATATGTATATGTTATGTATATGGGATTTATTAGAATGGCTTACAAGCTGTGGTCCAGCTAGTCCACCAATGGCAGTCTACCAACAGAAGGTCTAATAGTTGTTCAATCCATGAGGCTGGATATCTCAGCTGATCTTCAATATACTCTGGAATCCCATAGAAGTACATTCCAATGCCAGTAAGGTAATGGCTTGTTAGTGAGAGTGAGGGCAGGCAGACAAAGAGCAAAATCATTCTTATTCCTTGTTTTTCATGTAGGCTGCCACTGGAAGCTGCGGCCCAGATGAAAGGTGGGTCGTCAAACTTCAAATGATTTAATTAACGAAAATTCCTCACAGGTGTACTTAGCCGCTTGGGGTTTTAGTTCATTTCAGATGTAGTCAAGCTGGCAACCGAGAATAGCCTCCACAGCCATAAAACCTCCCCTAGAGAGGGGATTTATGGCAGTGTTTATCTCTCACAAGATTTTGCTTTTAGTAGACAAAGGGATGCTCAAATTCATCCTTCCGCATCTATTGATTCTCATCAGCTTTTAGTTCAAAACTGCTTGTATCCCAAAGTGGCCAAGGTTTAGGCTGGCACATTCTGATCCCCTTCACCAGCAGTAATGATTAAATATCACCTCATATTTATCTATAGATAAACAGACACTTTAACAAGCACTGTCTCCATGAATATAATTGCTTTCTCATTCTGAAGTTAATTTCGCCCAATGTAAAAGGCTTTATAATAAAATAAGAATTCCTGCTAGGAACAACAAAAATCAACCCACAAATTAACTACAACTGCAAAGTAACATGAGGAATTATTATCCCTATATTAAATGAAACTACGCCCCGGACACCCCACGGGTATCACGCTTTATAACACATTTGCATATTCCTTTGGCAAATACACCATCAACACTCCTCAGCTACTCTAATACTAATCCAGACTCAGAGAATGAAGGAGACAATGCCAGCTGTCAGCAGTTTAAAGTTCGCCCTTTCCCTAGTCTTTTGGAAAGAAGTCACACAATATTACAAGCTTGAGAACTGAAGCCAGATGCCAAGATAACTTATCAGGGCAACATGCTGAAGAATCAGTGGGGTGGAGTTGTGACTCACACGCAAGCTTGGAAATCACACTTCACTCTGGTTCAAATGCCACGTCAGTTTCACTAATGGTAGGATCTCCGGCAAATTTCTCAGTCTCGACCTACTGTTCTATAAGATGGGGTCTCAGCAGCCCAACTGTTTATGTGATAATAAAAACTAAATCAAATTGGACCACTTTGTGACATGTTATACCATAAAAAGATTTCACAATGAATTGAACTGACTTGACTGGATTGAGTTGCATAAGCTGCCTGTGAATCCCTTTAGGGTGGAGCTTGGAAACGTATTCTCTTAATGCCTGCTTTGTTGCCTCAGAACCATGGAAAACGCTGATACAAGAGACTTCTCATGTGTAAACCACACAAAGAAAACCTTTGTTGATTCTGACTAAAATCTTTGCATTTGTTGAGAGCTTATCCCATGACTGGCATTTGACGTTATGCTCTTTATTTATAGTTTCATTTAATCCTTAGATAACTCAAGGACGTGTCACGATTGAGCATCCTTTGGATATATACCCAAAAGTGATATTACTGGGTCGTGAGGAAGGTTGTTTCCTAATTTTCTGAAAAATTGCCACACTGACAAAGGGGCTGTACCAGCTTGCATTCCCACCAGCAATGCAGAAGTGTTCCCTTTACCCCACAACCTCTCCAATATAAGTTGTCTTCAGTGTTTTTGATCTTGGCCATTCTTACAGGGGTAAAATGGAATCTCAGAGTTGTTTTGATTTGCATTTTTCTGATGACTAAGGATGTTGAACATTTCCTTAAGTGTCTTTCGGCCATTTTAGATTCCTCTGTTGAGAGTTCTCTGTTTAGGTTTGTACTCCATTTTTTTTATTGGATTAATTGTTCTTTTGGTGTCCAATTTCTTGAGTTCTTTGTATATTTTGGAGATCAGACAGAGATCTGATGTGGGGTTAGTGAAGATCTTTTCCCATTCTATAGGCTGTCATTTTGTCTTGTTGGCTGTGTACTTTGCTTTACAGAAGCCTTTTAGTTTCAGGAGGTCCCATTTATAAATTGTTTCTCTCAGTGTTACTGCTGGTGGTAGCCACCATATGGCACTGGCGTCTCCAAAATTGTTGGGAACCCTTATTGCAATGGGGTAGCATTTTCATCAACAACCTCTCCTGGGCTCCCTTCAGGAACTCCAGTCTTGCTGCACAGTGGCAAGTTTCAGCTGTTCCCCATGTTCCCTTCATGCCTTTAAAATCAGTGTCACGTGGCTGAGTCTTATATTACAAAGTACCAGCATGAGGTACATTCCTGTATATAAACACATGGAGGTGCAGGCTTAATATTTTATTAAACAAATTGTTGAGTGTGGACAGAGATAACTAAACTGATTGGTTGAATACTTATAGGAACTTGATGTTGAGCCACTCTTTGGGGGTTTCTGTCCATACTCCTGAAAATCTTTGCTGTATAATTCAACCATATTTTTTGACTGGTGATGGGACATTCAGTTAGGAGATATTCTTCTGACAGGGGGTAACAAAATTAGGTGACTCACCTAACATAGAACAGAGATTTTTAAACAAACAGCCTTGACTTTAGAGTTGCAGAAGACATGTCCAACTCCAGAGCCAGTCTTTCAATAAAGTAGAACAGCATAAAGTAATATTTCAATAATATTCATACCTAAAAACTCAACCCAGTGATTAATAGGAGGACCTGGAGCAACCTGAGAATAGAGAAGACTCAGAGATAGAAATTCCAAGCCCTGGTTGTTAAAGTAGTCATGGCAAGTGGTCAAAATGGCTACCTCCCCCCTCCATCCAGGTCTAGGAAGGTGAGCTTCCAAACAGACTAGGCTTCCACAAAGCTAGTACATGCAGTAGAATCAAAACCCAGTGTCATTGTCCTTGGCTTCTCAGTCAGCTCTCATTGTCAGGCATGTTCAGAGTCCGGTTTGATCACATGCTCAGGAACACTGACCGTTCTTTGGACTGGAGAAGGAGGGGGATGGGAGGAGGGGGAGGGGGATAAGAGGAGAGGGAGGGGGTGAAAATTTTAAATTAAAAATAAAAAATTTGCTGGAAAAAATATTTCCCCCAAATATTTATCACTGTTTATAAAAACCAATAGAAATGATTTTCAAAAATTAAAAAAAAATGGCTACCTCATTGGTTGATCTTCCACCCAATGTGTACCCACACACACACCTTTGAGTGCTCGCTTGCCCTAGCCTGGCCATTGCCTGTGCTTCATCCTAGCTACTGCCTGGCATCTGACCTTGACTCAGACCAAGATGTTGGTGGGGATGGCATGCTAAGGATTTAAAGAGATAGAGACAGCAAAAATAAAAACAATAGACACAGGACACAGAATATTTGCACAGTCAAGA